CTTAGAATCTTCTCCGAGTCACTTTAAATTTGAGACTAATTATTGTCAGGCTGAAAATGATAAGATTAAGGCCCTACCAACAAGAACACTACTTAGTATTGAGCTTGTATTCTCCTCCTTAATAATTTAAGACCACTTACTATTTCAGTGAACAGCTTATTAGTAGTAATAAAGTATAATGTGATATTTAGGATTGAATGTAGCATTAATATTCTCAATCATCATAAGTTAACAATAAATTGTTTTAATAGTAACACCAGCTGGATAAAGTCCAAGCTGGAGCTGCAAAAAAACGAGACATTAAAAGTAATTTGATGTTAAAAGCATGATGGACATAAACAAAAATAAATGGCAAGTGCAACGTTAAAACAGAAATATGCATGTATATATCATCCTACAGTGGCAGAGAGGACCATGATATTTGCAGGCGTTTGTTTGTTGTTATTGGCTAAAAGTAATTTGATGTTAAAAGCATGATGGACATAAACAAAAATAAATGGCAAGTGCAACGTTTTTTTGTTTCTCCAATAACAACAGTTATATCAAATCTTTTACCGCACTATATCTAATAGGTGTTTTTTGGCTAAAAACAAAAAGAATTTTTAAGACGCCAGCAGAAATGGCAGGAGGAAATAGCGGTGTCGGTGGGAGTAGAGAGGCGTAAGCGAATTTTGCAGTGATGTGTCCTGCTTATGTAAAAGCCAAGAAATTAAAAGAATAAATAAAAATCCTCAAATCTAAAGGGAAATTTCCAAAAAAAAAAAATCGATTAGATGAGAAAGACCATTTATGCCATTTTCACGGATAACATTTTTAATGAATGATTTTTGTTTTCGATTTTCATAAAAGTAAACTAGACTCAACCATTACAATATGATCACATGGCATCCCAATGAAAAAGGAAATTAAAGTGGTGGGGTCTCTCCAAAAGAGATGTGTGTTGTTCTCTCCTCTTCCTCTCACACTCATCCATTCATTCACCCTTACGCCAAACATCCCTCACATGCACTCAAATCTTCTCTTTCTTCCTTTTCCTTTCCTTCTTGATTTCTATTTCTTTCTAGTTGACTAATACTATAATCTTCTGTGACCATGCGTGACTTCAATGAGAGGCTCTTTGTGAGGGGACCATTAATTATTAATTACAATTAATGCTCGCTATCTGCTAATTCATGCCTCTATATGTTGTTGATTAGCTTGTAGGACCCACCTAATGAAATTAGGGCTCCTTGTCATATTTCCATTTGCCTGCTTGGATATCCCTTTGGCACGATGGATTATTCAAAACTTCACTTTTAAAAAGCCATAATCTATTGTATTTGCTAAGCCAATAAGTTGTTGTCGTTTGTGGTGGCAGTAGCTCGTCTCTGTAAAATAAAACAAAAACTCAAGTTTAAATCTCAGAAAGTATAATTTTCAGAAGGGTTTTGTTTTAAATGCTCACAACTTGCTTTCAAGTTTACGGTAACTTAAACACATCCTAGATTCCCAAAAAAAAAAAGAGTGTAGATTTATGTTCTGTGGTATGGAGATAGAAATATAAATATTTTTTTTTATCATTTTCTATAGTAAAACTTATTATGAGACTTTTTCATAATTATATATGTTATATTGAGACCTAATTTCGCTAAGGTTTACTTTTAGTAATACATGAAATTATTTTCCTAAACACGATCGTATTGTCTTAATAAACCTACAGCAAATTATATATATTAGGGCAAAAATTGAGATGACCTATATATAATATAACCAAGTAAAATACATTACTAGGCCACAAAAGATCAATTATATATGCAACGTAAAGAGGACAAAGCTCAGCTTCTTAAAATATACTCCTCCGGTCCTTAATATAAGACCCATTTAACAAATTTGATTAGATTAAAAAAGTTAGGTAAGTTGGTTAATTATAAGAAAAGTGACACATTTTTCCTAAAACACCATAATCATCTTTCTTAATACCCCCTCTCCCTCTTCTACTTAATTATGGTTGAGAGAGTATTTATAGGGCCATATGGGTAATTTAAAGAAAATTGATAAATATGAGAAATGGGTCTTATATTTAGGATTAAAACCAACTCAAAAATTGGGTCCTATATTAAGGACCGGAGGAGTGTAAATGTAACGATACTTTAAAAGTAAAAATCATAAAAAAAAAGACTGTCAAAATAAAAAAAATTACACACAAAGACCTGTTCATAAAATTATTGTCAAAACCCATACTAACATTGTCACGGATTCCTATGTAATTTTTTTTATTTTGATGATTTTTTTTAGCGATTTTTCCTTTTAAAATATAAAATATAAATAAAAAGAAAAAAGAAAACGGGGAAGGTGTTATGAAGTTTTGGTGCGGTTACGCGTGTACCTGGTGGACCAATGTCAATGAAACAAATTTATGTTGGTCACGTTCTTATGGCTGCACAAAACAAAAGCATTCAATTTTCTTTTTTATATATATCTAAGTTGATATAAGTCCCTGGATATTGAAATTAATCTCATAATCTTCCCAATAATTAATAATAAGATCGCAGATGTACATGTACCACATTATTTACTTGTGTTTAGGACTCATTTATTCTATTTATATTCAATATTTTCAAGTTAATTATTATTTCCAATAAATGTCCTTAATAATGAATAAATGAGAGGCCGTCGTGCCCGTTACTATGATAAGACCCGGGCGACAGAAACCACCAAACCTTCGCTGACTTGAAGACAATCCATCCCATTTCACACTATTGTCGTGGACCCCACTTCATCTCACTCTTCTCTGTCTTCTTATTCCATTTAATGTTTTAATTACTTAATTAATTAATTAAATTAACTACAATCACACAAGGCATGGCCGCTCAAATGACAAATACCTGTAGGCTGTGGCTACTAATTGCGCTCAAATTTGAAAATTGCCACTTGCTTTCTCTGAGTACATCTCTCATTTTTTTAAAAAAGATGTTATGCTCATTTATTAGATTATACATCCTAAATATAAGTCATTTTTAACTGATTTATATATACTTATAAAAAAAATTAAAAACATTGAATTTATTATAAAATTTAACTAAATTTTTAATATTGAGCTTATTACATATATAAAACTCTAGCATCGTACTAATTTATGTTTTCTTTTTACCTTTTTTATTAAATATAAGTATAACTATCAAATGGTACATAAAAAAGATCAATACTCTATTTTAAAAGGTGCCTTCTAACAACAAACCAAAGGGAGTATGTATGCATGATAAATATTGTGTGTTTATTTTAACATGGCTTAAATTTTATTTTGATTTTCTAATCATAATTATTGTTATATACAATTAAAATACTACCTTTAGTCCTTAATATAAAAACTAGTTTGACTTTCAGTTTGATCCCAAATAGAAGACCCTAATTTACTTTGTCTATCAGTTTATCTTTTTTTTTTTTTTCAAAATAGTCCTTGTAATAATTAGACATGTTAAATGTTCTATCAAATGATAATTCTAATTAATACACATGATTAGCAGGGATATTGTAGGGAAGACAATATCTATTTATTACAGATAACTAACTTAACAAACTTTCTTAATCTACTCAAATTAGTCAACTAACTCTTATATTAAGGACATGAGATAGTATATTTTAGATGGGGAGTGAGTGAAAATACCAGTTCCTTGAGCCTTTCTTTGGCCGATCTCACTACATGAATAGGACTAATTACATGACACATTTATGCACTGAGCTTAGGCCTTAGTGGAAGAGAATAAAGGGCAAGAATCCAATCAATTAAAGTTGGAAATCAACAACAAGCTTCCCATCATATTTTACATGTGCAAAATTAATACTCTTCCAATCCTTCCTATGAGATCTAATTGGAGAGTTAATATTAATTCTTTATAGAAGATATATTTTATATGTTCATCAATTTTTTCCTCAAATTAATCATATTAATATTCTCCCAATAATACTCAAGGAGGAGAGAGAATGAGAAAATGAGAGAAGATGTTTAGAATATTTTAAAAGAAAATACTCGTATCATATTAACTAATTTAACTATTACTCTAGTTTACTTAAATTAATTAATTAGGTTTGCATTAAAGAGTAGAGGAGTACAAGATATAAAATCTTTATCAAGTCACAGTATTCACAAACTTTAAATAATGTAACTTTTGTAATAAATACAGGCCGGGGCTTACCTATTATATCTAAAAACAATTAAAAAGAAATAGTGTGAATAAGAGATTTATCTTTGGCAAAAAAGACAGAGACTTATCTATATATATAAACTAAAAATAATTAAGAAAAGGACATATATTACATACTACCTCTTATCCTAAATATGAGAGATAGATAGGAATTAAATTTGATCTTAAATATAAAATATTAATTTATTTTGTCTCCAAAATTTATAATGCTTTTTTCAAAACAGTCCTATTGATTATAAGTGGTTTTCACCCGGGAATAGCTCCAATATATATAATGAAACAGGGTAATTTATAAAATTCAAAACATTACACAAATAACCATTTTGACTAATTTCTTTTACCTTTTCAAATTGATTATCTAGCATTGCATTAACGAGTTATGACAAATTATGTAAAAATCCATAAATCCTGTTCCTCTCTCAATCCTGTTCCCCACGAGATTGCCAGCCATGGTGTCATCTTGCCCCAATTCCCCTGTTGCTCCTTGGAGGAAGTACCATGAATGCGGAAAAAGAGTTTATGTACGTAAATTTTAACAGATTATAAAAATTATACTGCAGGTCAAGAGAATCCAAATCCCAATCTGGTTGTATTATAAATCTGATGAAATGTAGGAGGCGTCTTCATGTGCATGTGAGGGGGAGAGAGAGAGAGAGAGCTGTGGAATCAAATGCAGAGAAAAAGGGATCATCTTCCTTAACACCCTAATCATTCAACCCCACCATCTCCATATTCATTTACCCCTCTTTGCTTTTTCCGTCCTGGTTTCCTCAAAAAGCCAAAACAAAAGAAAAAGAAAAGAGGCCAACCACTTCGTCTCCCTCTCTCTCTTCTCTCTCACGACAAAATCTTCTCGTTTTTTGCTTTCCAAAGGGATCCCAATGCTTCACTTTACCCGCACCAACTGCCATTCCCGTTTCTTCAGCTCAAAGCTTCTTATCCAGTGACACCCACACACCTATGTCCCCCCCATATTACTCATTGCCCTTAAAAGCTCATGGATGTCACTAAAAGGAGAATTCCCTCTGGAGCTCCTCCTGCTGCTACTAGTACTGTTGTTCCTGCAGGCTCTGTGTGGGAATCAAGGATGAAGAGCGATGAAGTCAGAGGTGGGATTAAGGTCTTCAATGGAGATGCTAATTCTGATGAAGTAGCTCCCAATGCTGCTACTGGTACTGCCACCAGACTCATGAGAAGCACCGTGGCTGTGAATGCCAAGAGGAGGACGTTGAAATCGGACAATAATTCTGATGCAACCGATAAGGCTCAAGTTCAGGTTACAAGAGGGAAATCAGAGTCGGGGCAGAAGAATTGTGATGAGCAATGTAAGGAGCTTAGTGTTTCTTCAGAGGAGATCAAGAAGAGCCCAATTGCGGCGAGGAAGTCCAGGAATGAAGGGGCGCCGATTAAGTCGAGAAAGCTGAGATCTGATGTGCCCAAAGATGCGGGTGAATCCAGTGAGGGGGCTGAGAGGAGCTTGAGGAAGTCGAAATCGGATTCGGTTAGGACGGCGAATCAGAATAATGTGAAGATCGTTGGGGAGAATAATTCAGTCCAATTGAGGAAGACGAAATCCGCGTCGGATCCTGTTTCGCATGAATCAAGCAATGGGATCAATGGCGGAATCGAGAATGTCACAGCTCAGAATGAGAAGGACGACGATACTGACGAAAATTGTGAGGATATCGGGGTGTGTGAAGAGAAGTTCATTTCAAGCAGTACGGAAAATGTGAGCGTCCCGAAATGTTCTCCGGAATTGTCGGTGCTCGTCGACGGCGATGCAGATGGTTTAGTGGATGAAAAAGCGGAAGAAGTTGAAGATGAAGAGGAGAACGCTGCGGATGAGACTACTGAAACCGAGATGGAGGAGAGTTTCGATGTAAAGGAAATCAGTATTCCTACAGAACCCAAAATTGTGAAGGAATCAGAGAACAACGAGGTTGTAAATGAGCAGGAAAAGAAAATGGTCGTGAAAAAACCAGCGAATAACAATAACAAGATTGCGAATGAACTGGACAAGAAAGTGGTTGCGAAGGAACCAGAAAAGAAGGCTGTGATCGATGACCCTGTTAACAAGAAGGCTTTGAATGCGAATCAACCACAACCTAAGAGAATTCAGAGTACCCACAGGAGATTTCAGCAAAATAATGAAAGACCAATGTCAATCCCTGCAGTTACTATGAAACAATCTCCAGTTAGAAGGCATTCCACAATTTACCAAAATTTCCCAAAAGAAAATTCACATTCAAGTAAGTTCTTTTGAGTTTCTGAGTTTCCGTTTTCTCAGTCTGTTTTCTGGGCTGTACGCTTGTTTTCTTTAATGACACTGACTGATTTTAACTCTTCAATTCCAAAAGCAGAATATCATAGCTTCCCTCAAACTCAGAGCAAATTGCAGAGTCTAGGTGATCGATCTATCAGCAATTCAAGAATTGTGCAGTAGTGAAAAGTGAAATTTATCGGCAAAATTTTATTCAGACTATATTTTAACTTTTTTTTTTATTGTGAATCTTAATCCTCAGTTGACTTAATCATGTGGAGGGATATCTCAAGATCAGCCTTTGTCTTTGGGATTGGAACATTTGTTATAACCTCATCTTCATATGCACGGGATATAAATGTGAGGTGAGAAATTCATAATAAAACATTATTAATAAAACATAGTAATTGTCACTTCCCAGAACTGACAATTTCCTCTCCCTGTGGCTGCAGCTTTATTTCAGTAATGTCCTATCTGGGACTTGTCTACCTTGCTGTTATCTTCCTTTACAGATCCTTAATTTGCAGGTAATAGTCCAAACCCAAGGGATAAAAATGAATGACAGGAAATTACCAAGAAAGTACTCTGTTTCTGATCCTCTTTTTGTGTGGAACTGAATTAAACAGGGGAATCATAGATATAGATGACAAAAATTATGTACTAGGAGAAGAAGAAGCAAGTTGGGTACTAAAACTGATTCTCCCTTACTTGAATGAGTTACTTTCTAAACTCAGAGCCCTCTTTTCTGGAGATCCTGGCACCACAATGAAGGTAATATTCTCTACCCACTGATTTCGTGATTTCATTCCCTTGTCATTTCCGGCAAAGTGTGTTTTATACTGCCATCTTAAACAAGTTAACATTCATGCCTGAGCTTCATGGTACTTAATTCTTTATATGCTTTTGGTGGTTTAATGAAAGAAAGACTGCAAAATTTGACCATAACCTATATAATGTGCAGTTGGCAGTTTTGCTCTTTGTTTTAGCCAGATGTGGTAATTCCATAACCATTTGGAAAATGGCCAAATTCGGTAAGTTTGCTTTTAATTGATTTGTAACATTTTCTTGTTGGGTAAGATCAGTTTAGAAATTTAACTGCTCAAAAAGATTACCCTTTATACATGCCCTTGTTAAAAGGCGGAGTTCCTGAGCCTACTACTAGATGGTACTCTGCTCTGCGGCCATGAAAGGCTAAAACTCAACCCTCATTGCCTTTCCCTTGAAACCAAACAAAGAGCAACAAAATTTACTTACGTCCCAACTGCAAAGTCTCATAACTTTTTGCATCATTTATTAGGACGGCGAAGATTATCTAACCTCTGTAATTCTCATCACACCTTTTTTCATGGGTGTGAATTTATTTAAACTTACTCGTTGGCTGAATAGATAATTACTATGTATATTAAACTTTTCCTCTATTAATGAATTATATAGATATAGAAATAGAAGAGAGGCAGATCAAAAATAATGAAAAATATACATTTATATCAAAATATATTTTTAATAATAACAGTATTTTCCTTCTTCTTTTTTTTCAAAAAATGGATTTTTTGAACAAATTTAATAAAAACTATTAAATGCTTTTTTATTCGTTAATTTTTGGGTGGATCATCATCGTCGTCGTCATCATTATTATTATTCCATTTTACAACTGACATATGGATATGTTTCTCCCTACTCAGGTTTCTTTGGAGTATTTACGGTTCCAAAAGTCTGTTCTTCCTATTCTGCACACTTAACTGCATATGGTAATTTCCTGAATGTCATGCATCTTTGCTTAAATATTAGTTGAAGGTTTTTGAATATATGAAAATAAAAAGAATGGTCATTTTAGATTAGAGGGGAAAATATTAAAAATAATTAAAAGTGCCTGATTTATAATAGTGGCAGTGGTCGTGTAGGCCCACCACAGCGGATCATGACTTCGTCCTCATGCCTTGGCAACGGATCTTTTGCACCTGCTAATATTACTATTTACTATTAGACGCGCTGTGTCTCCATAGCGCATATCCGGTGGGTCCTACCATTTAATGGGGCCCAATAACACATTCATCTTCAAATGTCTAGAATTCACATGATCTTCATTCTTAAACCAAACCCGACTCTTAAAGTCACACTATGTTTTTGACTTCTTGCAACAAAGAGGGATCACACTGATTCAAGGCAAGTGTTCCAGGATTTAGCTTGTATTAGAGTAGATGTTTTTAATCCTTATCTGTTGTGATGGAAAAGGAAAATGACTTTGGATATGGGTAGAAATTGTCGCTCTAAATTTATTGCATCACATGGGTTTTGGGCCTCTTGAGAATAGGGATTGTTCTTCAATGGGATCATAAACTCATAATGGTCCTCCACATCTTTTGGTCTGTGGGTCTTTGGCACTACCCAAAGTCCCAAGCTCCAGAATGGTCACTTTCATGCACACATATATATGTCTATTTATTGGGTTCTTAAAACCCAGGCGCACTCTCTTCATGAGCCTCATAAGTTCTAAAAATGGTCCCATCTGCTCCCTCTTTTTGGTCGTCGCCTGTTCTTAATCATACTCATATACTGTATGTAAGCTTCAGTCAACTGGTTTTAGTGCTGTTTAGAGATTAGAGATGGTTTCTTACTTCATCATTATGGAGTAACAATTAGCGCCAAAAGTGGGGTTGATTAATATTAGTTGTTGTGCATGAAGGAAACTTTTGGGTTCGAAGATTCAGAGACGCTTGGGATTCATGCTCACACAAGAAAGCAGTGGCTCTTGGCATCTTCAGCCTTGTATGGAACATGTCATCAGTTGTTGCTCGTGTTTGGGCAGGTAACATTCAAAGTTCTTTTTCCTTTTCAATTAATAGAAAAGGCACCAAAAATTTAAAGTCACAAGTGAATCGAACTCACTCACTACCTCCCATTTACAACCTATCTTCACACAAGAAAGGATAGCCATTCTGATTGTTATCATGTGTGTGTTGCAGTGTTTGTGCTGTTTGTGGCGTTTAAATATTATCAGCAACATTATATGGTGAGGGATGAATATGTGGAAGAAGAAGAGGAAGAAGACGAAGCAGAAGGAGATGAGGGGGACACGTGGCAGGCGGCAGGTGGAGCGAAGAATCAAGGGGGTGCCCACATTCCGTCGGAATCAATTAAACTTAAGAAAGGGTTCTAAATATTCGGGTCCATGCGGTGTGCTCTTTTTTGCTTTTTCTAATATAGTATTGTTCTCATATAGTTATTTATTATTTTACCATATTAAAAAATATATAGTTTTACTACCGTTGTAAATTTTTTATTAGCTAGTGATGAAAAAGGAAATCCCAGCTGATAAATAAATAGTTATGCGTTCTTCGTTGTTATATGATGCTTTATTTTTATGTTCGGTTGACTCCATCATCATGTGTGTATATATACAACTTTGGCTTTTTAATGTAAGAGTTTATTTGATTTTTATTTAGAAAAGTCTCAATCTATTTTGTTTTTATATTTATTTATTTTTTCTCTAAGGTAGTCATTGTAATAATAATAATTCTAGCCAATATACCTGACCAGTAAAGATATTTTAGAAAAGATAACATTTATTTATTGCAAATAATTAATATAATTAGTTTTCGTAATCCATTCAAATTCGTCAACTAGCTCATATATTAGGAGTCGTAGTATTATTTATTAATTGAAACACTTTGTTGTTAAATTTAACTCTTAAACAATAAAAAGAGATACTTAATATTTATATTTAAATGTTAGTCTTTTTTGTTGTTTAAACATGGCAAATATGATTCCTAAGATTTATATCTTAAATATATTGATTTCCCCCCCCTAAAATTTAAATTCCTGTCCTCATTTCTTTTTAGTTCAAATCATCAATACATATAGCATAATAATCTATTGAAAATACAAGCTTTTTATATAATTTTTTTATGATTATTCCCTGAAATCAAAATATTCTTTCCCTCATATGTTTTGAACAATAAATGTTTTATTATATTCGACCCCAATACTTCCCGACCTTTCTTCCATACTGGGCTAAGCAGAGGTGGCTGATTTTGGGAACTGTAGGCCCAAATAAGCCTTATAATGAACAACAGCGTTTTTTTTTGGGGAACCACAAGAAATTAACCAGTGAAGGGCTGGGGGAATTAAATCCCATACAATCTTCACCCACAAAGGTCCAAAGGCAAAGAGAATTTTTTTTGCTGGACACGAATATCTTCATAATAGAAATAATCATGTTTGAGAAACTAAATATTGGCACCTCGTATGTAAGCCTTGGTTTGCCCCAAAGCCCTTGGTAAAATAAGAGATTTTTTTTTTTGGGTTAAAACATAGGTATCTTCTTATTAAAGACAATCTTATTCAAGACACTATTGGGTAATAATTGTGGACTCCTCTCCTAGTAGAGGATCGAACCTTGATTTGTCACATTATGAAGAATTAGTTCATTTTGTTGGATCCAACCCCTATTAGTAAAATAAGAGAATTTTTTTTTTTTGCTAAAGTATAGGTACTGTCGGGTACTAAATGTGAGCACCTCTCCTAACGGGGATTCGAATCTTAGTTCACCATGTTATGAGGGACTAACCTTTTCTGTTAGAGCCAACTCCCGTTGGTAAAATAAGAGAAATTTTGATTGCATAGCAACATTACATTATTGGGTCCAAAGAAATTTTTTTATGGCCCAAGGGTAATCCGTTTCAAACGATCGGATCAAAGCCATTGATCCACTTGATTTAAGTAAACATTGGTCAATGCAAGGCTATACAACTAATTAGAGCTACTCCCAACTTATAAAAACTCATCCCAAATGTCAACTTCTTGTCACTCAAAGTAAATTCCCTCAAATTCTTGTATCAGTTAACTTATTGGAACCTCAATTACCATCCAATAACACACAGTTAATTAAAATTCCCAATTTCTTAACTTAATTAACGTTCCATGTTAAAAATACCCAGTTAAAAAATTTCACACTAATCAACAAATTAAACCGATTAAACTTCAATTCAACCATAGATAAACATATTATAACCATTAAATTGTATTTCAATTAGTGGAATCATCATATTCTAACTTAAACTCCAACTAACATTCAAACCCTTACTCTAAATCTTCATAACAAAACCCCATTAATTAAACCTTAAATCTACTCTCAAATACCTATTAACTCATTGGAACTCAGAATAATCTGTAGAATTTGACTAAAATTCAGAATCCTACATAAACCCCAACTTCCATATCATCAAAACCTTTAAAAATCCAAGAGTGGAAGATGAAAATCATGATAGAAACACTTGTTCAAATGTTTTTAAGCTTAAAGTTACTCTTCAAGGTCTAAAAATAGAAATCCTAACAAGGCCTCACGTTTCTCTCTTTTATACAAATATGCGACATAAACACCCAAATAATGCTAATAGTGCCTGTTGCCAAAACCTCTACTTGGGTAATAAAAACTTAGTCGAGGTTTTGTTACCTATTAAGTAAATGGAAGGTTTCTTCACATTAATTTGCCCAAGCATATCATCCATGAATTAATCAAACTACACTACAATAATCATTCTAAACCTCAATTTAAATTTCAAATCATATCTTAACTCTAAGTATGACTTAAAAATCATACTTAACTATCCTCTAACCTTATCAACTTGTTAGAAAAGAAAAGTTAGGTTGTTACACAAGTCTGCCAAATAATTTAAGTTTTATTTTAATAGAAAGATAAGCTTAATCTATATTTAATTCTTTAAAGTCTAATAGGGAGCATCTCCGATTCACCACTATTCATCATCATCATTATTATTTAATCAACAATGCATATTTCTTCTCAAATAAAACTATTTAAAATCATTATTTATTGTTATAATTGAGATGCACAAGCATGGACACCTGAATTTCTATCTCCCAAGTGTCTCTAATTATGTCCATCCTTCTACGTGGCAACACAATGGCGATGTTTCCAATTTCAGAAATCCTCAGTATCACTATTTTATCAATCAATCTTAATTTTTTTTTTAACATTCTCTGATAGATTAACAACGTATAATGAAAAGGAAATAAAATAAAAATACGAAGTTAAATCAATTTTAAATATTAATTGTTGATTAGCTCTTGAATATTCATCAAGTAAAAGCTTTTGAATGAAACTACGAAAGTGAGACGCGTGGTGCATCAAACACGACATTTTGACTGGTTAGGGTTACTAAACGACATGGTCCAATTGACTACAAAGTCGTCTTATTTTGTGTGGCCAAAATTTGATAGCTTACCTCAAACGACATTATAACATAGACGGCCTTTGGAAATTCAACATATTTACACACACACACACACAAACAAACTGCATTCATCGAATACATATAATTTCACTCGTGCATGATTTAACTTGACTGAATTTCAATTTTTTTAAAAAAGAAAATATTTACAAATAAACATATCTACTAGATTTGATGCTAAAAAATAATTAATTTATATTGCCGTATATGTTTTTTTATAGAGAAAATTCTAATTAAATCCTGTTGAAATACTTAAAATTAAATTGAGGCTTACACTTTTAACAAATTCTTAATCAGGACATAAGACCTAATTAGGAATTACTAAATATTGTTAAGTAACTATAATGCCCCTCTTTAGTTAAGAATGGAAATTGATTATTTTATCCCTCTAATGTGGTTCATCATCTCTTATTATTAATATTTAGACAAAAAAATATAAATAACTTTTTAGTGTTTGAAATTTTGTAATATAACTAAAATCTTCAAAATATTTTCATAAAACATTTCAAATTATAATATGTAATCTTTAAATAAATATTTTTTTTCTTTTCAGGTTGTAAATATTTATTTTAAAATTTTGAAATATTTTAATTATAATAAAAATTTAATATTAAATTGTAATCATTTACATTTTCAGTTTGATCCAACATTGTTTAAATAAATAAAACTAACGTAAATTATAAGAACTGAAAATAAAAACTATTTATAATTTTACTTATATTTGTAATTTAACATGTTTTATTAAAATATTTTTAATAGTAAATATATACAAATTTCAAACATGATAAAATTGCTTATATGTTTTTTGGTCTAAAAAAAATCATAAGAGATGAGAAATTACTTGGGAGAGATATATTAATCAAGTTTTCTTTTTAATTGAAGAAGGGTATTTTGGGGTGATTTAACAACATTCAAAAATTTCTAATTAGGTCTCATGGCCTAATTAGGAATTTGCTAAAAGTGTAGGTCTAAATTTGAATTTAAGTATTTGGCTGGATTTAATTGGGATTCTTCCTTTTTTATATGAGATTGTGTGGTTTTAGTGTTGAATTTAAAATATTACAATTTTAGTTGTTTGTATGAATTTCTAAGAAAAGTTAAAGTGCACTTTGAATGCTTTAATTTGGTTTTATTTAATCCTTTAATTTATAAAGTACTATTTAAATATTTTATTAACTCTAACGCAGTTAATATTGATATTAAAATTTTAAATGCTTACAAAAAAAATTCTCAAATACTTTAAATTTTTAAAATTAAAATTATTATTAAAAATCATCATTTAAAAATAATTGCATGATGATTAGAAGATTGAAAAGATTCTTTTCAAAATTAAAGATTAAAGTGAAATCTTACATAAAATTATGGATTATATTTTTGTGTTTGAAAAATGTTTCTCAGTTTTACTCGATAAGATTAGGAGTTTTTCCCATTCAATTCCCACCATTTTTTTTTATCAACAACGCATAATTCTTTTAAAACAAAACAAATTACAACCACTTAATTAATTAAATTATTTGTGGATGTATATATAATCTAGTGATAAAGATGCAAGCGCAACCCATCGTCTGATAGATACATAACGTGGAATTTAGAGAAGAAATAAAACAAAAACATAGAGTTGAATTAATTTAAATATTAAGTGATCAATTAGCCCTGGAATCAATTAAATGCTTTTGAATGAAATTGAGACGCGTAGTGCATCAAACATTGAGTTTATTTGACTTGTAAGTTTATATGTACCAATTAAACGACATGGCCAAAATCGATTTAAAAGTCGTATTTTACGATTCGTGTGGCCATAATTTGATTAATTAGCTTATGTCAAACGACAGTATAATGTTGTCCCTCTCATGCATGTTTTGAAGAAATATTTATGAATAAGTACACGCATGTATTATACATGCAGATGTTATTATAAGAAATTATTAATGTATAATGCCATTCATATTGTTTCTGTATCATGGAATTATATATGGCTGAGTATTGAATTTAAATATGACTCATTTAAGGCATTTTCATTCTAATTATTTGTAAGTTAAAACTCCATTACAGGATATATACATATATCGAAAGGTTGGTTTAACAGTGTAAGGTTCTGTTAGATCTCTTTGGATCTCGAGTTTGAGTTTCAGAAGAGACATTTCTGTTAAGGAAAAGTCACGAACTCCGAATTAGATTAGTTAGTTACTC